ACCAGAGGGGTCTCTGCAACCAGGCCCAGCCCCTCACCTGTGAACGGTCCCCAGACCAGAGGGGTCTCTGTAACCAGGCCCAGCCCCTCACCTGTGAACGGTCCCCAGACCAGGCGGTACCCTGTGGCTCCTTCTGCTGCCCTCCAGAGCACGCGGACACTGCGAGGAGACACGGTCTGCACAGAGAGCTGCTGCACGGGCTCCAGACGCACTGCCACACACAGAGACACATGGTAAGACGGCCTGATGCAGACCGCACAGCCTCAGATAAACACCTGATGCAAAATCGCCAAGATGTCATATTGCCTTTTTAAACTTCTGGGATACAGCAACATAAAAGGCAGAGGCCATAAACTGCAGTACAGACATCCTCCCCCAGGTGGCGGCATGACTGCCTTTGCACAGCGCTTCGGGGTCACTCACAGGTGCGTGCTGTAGTGGAAGACGGCGCAGCAGAGCTCTGGGTGTACAGTGGGTACAGGGTCAGGGCGTACTCAGTGTCAGCCTGCAGACCCTCCAGCGTGACAGATGAGGCATCGGGCAGAAGAGTCCGTTCCTCCAGCTCAGCGTCCGTGCGGCCTGAGACACACGGGCAGAGGAGAGACAGAGGGACAAGTGGACACACAGTCAGAGACATGCGGACAGGCCAGTGGGAACACACTGGGAAGAGACTGCAGGCGCCAGTGTGGTCCACCCTGTCAGTCTGAGCTCCGCGGACAGTGCCAATCTGCTGTCAGCTGGCATGAAGCACCTTTCACATTTCTGCTTCTGTGTTTTAGCATCGTTCGCTTTTGCTGGGTCCACTCCTGTCCCACAGCTTGTCGAACCCGTGTTCAGTGCTAAACCAAGAAGGAACAGTGTCCCCAGCAACGCAGATGAGATACAAAACAGAAGCAGGACTGAAACCTCAAACAGCCATTCCTGTCTTGAGTGGAAGATCTCTTTACCACTCGTTCCTGCTCGGTGGGAAAAACCCAGTAAAGAGAAACTCACCAGCCCCCGCAGAGAGGCTCACACAGCGGACCCCTGCCCCACCTACCCCCCTCAGCCAGACATGAAACAGACGTGCGCCTCTTTCCCGCGATGGGTTCAGGCAGGGAGGCCGGGACGAGACTTGCTGCGGAGCCGGGAGACGCTGCCTAGCTGTTGCTGTGTTCATGGCAGGCAGCTGGCTGGCCCGCGTGCCTCCAGGCGCTGCATTTTTCCCGGGCTGGCAGAGAACTGAAGCAGGGCGTGGCACAGGGTGGGGGCGGCCGGCTGGCACCCAGCCAGCGGAGCAGCAGCATGTGGGGCGGGGGGGACACGCGGACTGACACACCTGGAAACACCTGGGCACGTTCGTGCACAGCAGCAGCACACTCCTCGGCTCTGCCTGCTGCGCTCCGCTCCCACCGAGAGTGAACACGCACTCCTGACGCAGCTGAAGAGCTCACACTGCTCCCCGGGAGCGCAGTCAACAGGCACTACTGCACTGCTGCCGTCTCTGGCTGTTCCTTAGGAACAGCCCTGCAGTCAGCAAGAAGCAGCATAGTGCTGACAACAGTTCCACACTGCACAATAGGCAAGAAGACAAAAAGCAGTGACTTGCAATGCTTTTGTACTTGGTTTATGGTTGTTGTACACGACTGCATTTAACTCATATGCAACACTGCTGCACAGAAACTTGTGAGAGAGACGGGCAATATTGACAGGCAGACAGGCAGACAGGCAGCACTGTGGTCGCCAGCCCAAGCAGCTCACAGGGCCTGAGCTGAGGCTAGTCTCTGGGTCTTAGAGAAGTGAGGCTGGAAGGCTTGAGGGGTGGCACTGTGGCGAAGAATCTGTGCCTGGCGCTGCAAGGGTGCCGGTTCAAATCCCATGACCGGCAGAAGAATCCTACTCCATTGGGCTCCTGAGCAAGGCCCTTAACCCCAACTGCTCCAGGGGACGCTGTACAATGGCTGACCCTGCGCTCTGACCCCAAGCTTCTCTCCCTGTCTGTGTGTCCATGTCACATGGAGAGCAAGCTGGGGTATGCGAAAAGACGAATTCCTTACGCAAGAAATTGTATATGGCTAATAAAGTGATCTTATCTTATCTTCTGTGCAGGCACCCAGTGCAGAGACCCAGAGACCCATGTACACCATCTGGTTGAATGAAGCAAGCAGGCTGAAGTCACTAAAGCACCAGTCTGCAATCCTGCAGGCCCTGGTAGCCCCGGCACACTGTGCACTAGCACTCTCAGGCCTGTCTCGGGTCTCAGCCTCAGACTCAGCCCCATGCAGGCATGCAGCGATGGGTGGTCATCTTACTGGACTTGCGGCTCCATGATCATGAACCTGCCTACAGCACTGCTGATCCAGGCTTCTAAAACCCTCCCCTCCCACTTTACCATGTTCCCAGCCTTTCCTCTGGTTCTAATCCTCCCGGCTGTGAGCAGGGGGCGAGACCAGGGAAATGCCTGGGGTCAGGTGTCCCCCTGTCTGCAGGACCTCAAGGGGATTAACAGGGTTGTTCACTGTTTAAACAAGTGTGTTTTAAGCACTGTTTGTGAACACAAAGGGCTCTTTCATTCTCATCTGCCCTTTCCTGGGGCCAGAACCACATCCGGACAGGAGGCTCCAGTGAGCAGGGTGAGCAGGGTGAGCCCCCCAGCGCCTGCAGGAGTGGCCAGCCTGGCGATGTGCTGCCTGCAGTCCCTCCTCCGGACTCCCTGACTCCCGGACTCAGCTGAAGCCACAGTGAGAGCGGAGCACTGCCGGACCACCTGCGGAAAACCGTCCCTCACCTCTGGGCCCGTACGTCAGCCTGTACCCCTGGGGTCGGGAGGAGGGGGGGCTCCAGGACAAAGAGAGGGAGAAATATCCCCTCCGGACAACTCGGAAGTTCGTCGCGCCCGGCAGGGAGTCTGAGAGAGGAGACGAGAGAGAGGGATGTGAGAGAAACCGGGACACGAAGGAAAAACCAGATAAAGACGGAGAGCGATGGAGCAGCTCTCCTGCTGTCTTCCTCTCTCGGGCCTTGTACTGCAGTACTCACTGGTCCTGGTTTTTCCAGACACGGACTCGCCCACGCTGTTCGGATACTGAGCAATCACTGTCACCAGGTAGTCCGTCGCCGATTTCAGCCCCCGAGCCACATGGCTCCTTTCCGCGGATCCCACGTTCACCTGCGCACACACAGGAACCAGCAGGGGCGCTGTTACGGCTCTCAGGACTGAGGGTGGGGACACAGTGACCACAGCCAGAGAGCTGGACCTTCTGGATGCTGTGACTGGCCCTGGCAGAGCCCAGAGCCGCCTGGACTGCTCCGACAGAGGGACCTCAGAGCCCCCTCCTTCATGCATGACGTTCGCCACAATACTACGTAACTCTGGCTTGAAAACCTGGAGAATTAATTTCTTTTATCCAGATCTACACTGTCTCAGGTGTTCAGCACCTTCAGAATTTTACCCTTTTCAGAAAAATAGAAGCAAATTCTACTGTAAAATGAGAAACAAATCTGTCATTTTCCAGTCTTTACCGTTTTGCTGTCATACTGCTCATACTGTTGCACTTATCCGGTCTGTTGCCTATATCCAGTCTCCTACACTGCGCTAACCTGTGATTTATTACCTCACAGTCTACCCTGGTAAATCAGCCCGACCGATAACTCAGTGGTGTAGAAACAAGTCCTCCCCCACCTCTCGAAGCTCAGCTGTGATTGGCTGTCCCAGCCCAGAGAGGGGTGTGTACTGAATCCTGTAGCCAATCACGGGGCCTCCAGCAGGGCTCCACCGGAACCGCACAGAGTCGTATGTCTCCCCAGAGAACTGCAGGCCGGATGGCCCAGTGAAGACCTCTGAGACACAGGGAGGAGAGTCACCATCACAGCACTGTCACAGTCTCACACAGTAACACTGCTAAAGCCTAGCAAACTACTGCACAGCATCACTTGCTAAAACCTGCACGATTTTCCTGTTTATTCTGTTTGTTTACTGAACTACTCAAGGCTGTAGCTCTTTAATAGGGACATAACCCCCCTTGGCCCCCTTCATGTCCGACTGCCACACCACCACTCACTATCTCCCAGCAAACTGGCTTGAAGCCCCTTCTACACAAGGAAAAGGGAATGGCTCCAAACAACGTCAAAGCAGGTTCACATGGCAACCGGGCCCATACCGTCGCTGACGTAGGTGCCACCGGAGCTGGAGCAGACCCGCGGCGCCACCAGGGGCAGCAGAGTGTTGAGGATCTTGAAGTCGCCGATGTAGAAGGAGAATTCGTTCCGCGGCTGAGAGGCCAGCTGACCCAGCTCCCTGCGGTCCGCGTTCTTGATACCTGAGTGAGAGAGGCTGGGTTAGGCGTGGGGCTACAGGGCTGTGGCTAGGGTGTCTGGATTTGGAGTGGGGCTACAGGATTAGGGGTGGAGCTACAGTGGTGAGGTTAGGATGTCTGGATTAGGGGTGGGGCTACAGGATTAGGGGTGGAGCTACAGTGCTGAGGTTAGGATGTCTGGATTAGGGGTGGGGCTAAAGGATTAGGCGTGGGGCTACAGTGCTGAGGTTAGGATGTCTGGATTAGGGGTGGGGCTACATGATTAGGGGTGGGGCTACAGTGCTGAGGTTAGAATGTCTGGATTAGGGGTGGGGCTACTGGATTAGGGGTGGGGCTACAGGGCTGTGGTTAGGGTGTCTGGATTAGGGGTGGGGCTACAGTGCTGTGGTTACGGTGCCTGGGTTAGGTGTGGGGCTACAGTGCTGTGGAGAGGCTAGCAGTAATGTTATGGGATCAAAGTTGATGGCAGAGTTATGACCTGGCCTTTTAAACAGTCACCACTTCCCAACAGCCTTTGGTCTGCAGTCAGTTGTGGCCATTGTCGCAGTTCAGCCTCTGAGAATAGACAGAAGCTGGAGATACTCCTGCAGATATCTGAAGAGGACAGATGGAGAACCTGTTCCTCCAAACCCACCTCAGCCTCCAGATGAACTCCACGTCCCGCAGGGCCTTACCTACAGCGAACACCTTCACCCCCAGGTCGCGCAGCTTCTGGGAGGGCGGCTCAACGTTGTCCTGAGACTTGCCATCCGTGATGAGGACAGTGACCTGAAATACAGCAATTACACTACTCAGTCCACATCCCTACTGTCCACACCCCTACTCAACACTCATGACCCACTGTCCACAACCCCAGTGTCCACACCCCTACTCAACACCCATGACTCACTGTCCACAGCTCTGCTCAACATTCAACACCCACTGTCCATACCCCTGATCAACACCCAGCTACAACTGTCTACACCTTCACACACCTGTTCACACACCTGTTCCAACACTCAACACCCACTGTCCACACCCCCACTGTCTACACCCCTGCTCAACACTCATGACCCACTGTCCACACCCCCACTGTCCACAGCTCCTAGTGTCCGCAGCTCTGCTCAACACTCAACACCCACTGTCCACACCCCCACTGTCTACACCCCTGCTCAACACTCAACACCCACTGTCCACACCCCTGCTAACAACCCAACCACAACTGTCCATACCCTCACTGTCCACAGCCTCCCCCCCCCGTCTCTACCTCACCTTGGGCACATCCCGGAGTGCCGCCCTGCTGAAGAAGTTGTCTGCGACGTACTTGAGCCCTGCGCCGGTGCGCGTGTTCCCACCCTTGTAGTTGAGGTTGCGCACGGCGCTGATGAGCTCGCTGCCATTCTGGTGCGTGGCGAAGGTGAACTCCTCCCTGCGTGTAGACAGACAGGCGTAACCACACTGGCAGAGGCGGGCAGAGAGGCGTCAGGCCCAGGCAGGGCGGGGCTCGCCGGGGACGGGGACGGAGTGGGGCTCGGCGGACAGACCTGGAGGTGTCGCTGTACTGCACGGCTCCGAAGCGCACTCCCGTCCTGCTCACCGCGCTGGCGAACGGGGCCACGATGCCCGCCATGAAGCGCTTGACTTCCTGGAAGTTCGATCGGCCGATACTGGAGGAGCCGTCCACCAGGAACACGATGTCCGCCGCTGCCACATTCCTACATGTCCCTGAGAGAGGGGAGGGACGGAGACGGGAGGAAGGACAGAGAAGAGAAAAAAGACAGAGGAGAAAACCGACAAGGACAGGAGGGACAGAGAAGAAGAGAAGTAAGGGGTCAGTTTGGAGGACAGAGAGGAGACAGAACAGGGTGGACAAGGAAAGACAAGGAGGAGATGTAAAGTGGGGATTTTCTTCTCCTTCCTGACTCCTTTCTTTTTTGCCTCCCTCCTTCTACTCTACATGCCTTAAACCCTCCTTAGCTAATAATAATAATAATAATAATAATAATAATAATAAT